AAAAAGAGAGAGAAAGAGAAAAAGAGAATGAGAATGAGAGAAAGATAGAAAGAGAAAGGGAAGGATGAGGATTTCTCTCTCGAGGATGATCGAACAAGAAAGAGAAAGAGAAACAGAAAATCGGAGGTAGAAATAAAGATAGAAAGAAAAAGAGAGAGAGAGAGAGAAAGAAAGAAAACGTGGGCACGAAGAAGGAGATAATGCGTCGAGGCAGCAGGAATGCACGCCCACGTTCACAACGTGTTTTCCTACATTCGTACGGTGGTCACCACGTGAGAACGTGCTAGCGAGCGCACGTGGAATGCACCGTTGTGCATACCTCGAGTTACGTACTTATGAATAGATACTCTATTGTAAATTTATAATCTCTCTCTTTCTCTCGTAAACCAAAAATTCCCTTTTATGTGATCTCAAAATATTCAAAAGTTTCTTTGTCAGATATTTCAAAAAGTGGCTTTGTACTTTATCAGACAAATTTATTGAACAATTATAGTTTCAATACAGTTAATAATAATTCTATTAAATATTTTAATTCTAATAAAAATCATAAATTATATTGGGAGTTATTTTATTATTATTAATTACATTAATATTATAATAAAGTTATTAATATGATAAATAATATAATAAAATAATATAATATAATAATATTAATAACTCCCAATAAATATATATATATATATATATATATATATATATATAATTATTTATTATTATTATCATAGAAAATTAAAACCCTAAAATTTCACATTTAAAAATGAATCCAAACAGATCTCCGATGATCCCAAAAAAATAATTTGAAACACCCTATATAAATATACATACACACACACACACACACACACACACACACCTTTTTTCGCGGCATATCTTTGTACATTGATATTACATTACTTTTTCCAACACATCTCGTTGGTTGATTTAGTTCTTGGTAGTATCGAATACATAAAGGGTGGGGGGGATGATATCATTGAGAAAGTATCTGTTAAAATATCAAAACCAACTACCGGTGGAGGCATTGATTAATTTTCTCAAAGATCGAGATCGAGAGATTAATCTTTTATGGGTAGGGTGACAATATTCACATGAGAAACCATTTGAATTCCACGTTAAGGGATATGTAAAAGACGTAGAGAGCTATGAGAGAACTTGAAATTCCGCGTACGTCTTATGCAAAATAACGAATCTTTCCTACCGGACAGATATATGCACATATACATACACATATATATATATATACGTGTACTTAAACTCTAACGTATATATATGTATACATATGTGTATATAAATCTAGCATGTGTAAGTATATGTATATTTCTATGCTGGGGAAAGGAGGAAGAGGATATTATTTCGAGTCACGTAAAATATCATCCATTCGAGCTTAGAACGGATGAATTCAAACCTCAGATTCCACGCTCCTGGTTAACCTCACGTGTGGAAACTCTAGTTTCGTTTTTGAAAATTCCCCGTGCTTCTCGTGCAAAACTCTCAAAACACGTAATTCGCAATAATATCGTTTCCCGTTGAATTTCTTCTCAAAGATCTTTGAAATCCTCGAACTCGACAGAATAATCGCGAAAACGCGATGGAAAAGCAAAAGGGAATGTAAGTGTACAAAAAAAAAGGGATAAAAGAAAGTATACTTCTGTTTAAAGACAAATTACATTTAACGGTTGAATTACGGGGCAGGGAAGGGAAACACGTGTTCGGTATTCAACTGTGTGTGTTTCGTGTTTTCATATTTCGAATCGCGATATTAGTCGATGCTTGGCAAATTTTTCTTCTCCTCCTACCCCCTTACCCCCTTTTTTTTAGTTTCTTTGAATTTATGTTTGTTTTCCTTTTTTTTTAGTTATCTTTCTTTCTTTCTTTCTTTCCTTCTTCTTCTGTTTTCTTTCTCTCGATTGCATCGTCCAACCCGAGAGAGAACCCCATTAAAATTCTTCGAGGCGCTAACTAACGACATTCACGATTATTCCGTTCGAGGGTCCCTTCGGACGCGAGAGGTTATAGCTGCCAGGATATACAGACGTATACCTACTTACCAGCAGACACCACGGTATTGGGTCTGACACGGAAACTCGCTCGTAAATTCCCGGCGAACAAATTTCCAGCATGTGTCGTGGCTATCTTCGGGACAGAGGTTCTCATGGAATTATCTTACAAATGATACAAACTTTTCATCATTTTCTAACCCCACTTTCCTAAATATTAAACAGAAATTTCAATTATTTTATACTATAATTGCATACACTTGATATAAATGTTTCCCTAATAATTGACAAATATTATAAATAATTTTGTAATACATATATCTATTTATACATCTATAAATGTGATGAACTTTTATTTTATTAATTATAAATATAGTTGGGGTATTAAATATTAAGATAAATGTTGATTAGAATCATTTGATTGTCATCGAAGGATCCAACGTTAAAATTAAATATTATGAGATGATATCGTAGAGAAATTGATATGAGAACCCCTGAAAGTTGGGAGCGGCCGGCAATCAGAATCTCGTACGCAGTCACACATTTAAACAAAAACACACATCGAGGTGGTACCGAAGCACTACTATCTCAATCCGTACGCAAATGAGCTCTGCCCTCTAAGAAGACGAGACGAGTGGTTCGTTCGTGTAAAAGTATATCTATACACGCATACTCATATATCTATATGCGAATGGATACATAGTATTCATATGTGTATGTGTACATGATATCGCATACATGTCGTACATACGCAATGGTTTAAATGTATTTGAAACTCTTCTACACAACTCGTTCTCGGTCTCGCACTCTTCGTGGCACGCTGTTGATCGTACTATGGTGGTATACACACTAGGAAGACTAGGGTGGTGATGGAAGGAGGAAGGGGAGGGTAAATCAAAGCCACTCAAAGAAATAACCAGTGCTCATTAAGAGTAATAAGCCTCTCTTCGAGCGGTCCGATTGTTTCAAGGGTGTCACACGGATCGTCATCGTCATCGTCATCATCGTCGTCGTAGTACTCAACCGAGTCTTCCTTATTATATTTTTCGTGTCAGTCTCAAGAAGATGGTTACACTTCAACATGAATACGAAGAACAATTTAACAAATTATAAGAATCAAACGGAATGTTCATTTTACTCATTTGTTGTTGTCGTTCAACTGGTTGAAATTTCCTATAATTCTGTACGATTTAAATCGTCTGCAATATTCTAATTCCAGCTAACAAGAGGTTCGATCTAGCAAGCCGCAAGGCGTTTATTATTCTTGATAAGCAAGCTTGGTTAGCCGTCATTATTCAAACGATTATATCGCTTGCGTTGGAAGAACCGACCGGCCAAGCAACGATAGCAAACTCGAACGGCAACACAACACTCACATGTATTCGAGACTAACATAATGAATTTTCTACGTCCTACTGAATGGCCCCGGACAATGCGATCCTGTGGAGGACCGCAAACTCAGAACTATACCTATGGTCCAATGTCATTGCGTTAATCCTACCATTTATCCGTAACACTTTTCTTCGATCTTTACTACCTCTGTATACCCCTTTTTTCTCTTCAACCCAACACCCTGCTGCCCTCGGTATTTTTTTTCCAAGAAGGGTCTCCTCCTCCTCCTCCTTCTTTTCTTCGATGACGGCGCATAAAAACGCGGATTATTTGCTTGCGAGAATCGAGCACCAAACCATAATCCAAACCGATCGCGAGCTACGACCTGGTAACATTGCTCAAACTGATTCGTTTGCAACAGAGGTTCTCAAAGTTTCATTCAAAAATAATTCATTTGATGTTAATAAACTTAAAATAAATAAATTCATATCATAAAGATAATTTAAAAAAAAATAATACATCAATCAATCTTTAATGGTTTTCAAATCAGAATTAGTTTGACGTGATAATAAAACATATTACACTCTGAAAGACGTACAGAGAACGTGAGTGAGAGTGAGAAAGAGAGGAATAAAAAAAAAGAAAAAATAAGAGAAAAAAAAATGGTCTCCCGTCCCGCGAGGAGAACCCTGGGACTTCTCTACCGCCCCATCAGGCTCGATAATTACAGTCGAGCGTCGAACGAATGAGCAGGGGTATCATTAACGCTTCCTGTCTCGTAACGACTCCAACGTCGGGACACACGATACGCGGTATAAACGTGCGCGTCACCGCGTAAACTCGTAGCGACCCAGGGCTAATCGACGTCGATCGTCGATCTCTTCACGTTCCATGTGTCCCTTAGTTTCCGTTTCATTCTTTCTAACAACTACAATCTCGAGCATATACACACATATATATATATATATATATATATATATATATATATATATATATTTCTCTCACACGTTGTTTCAAGAGAGACCTAGCTTTAAAACGATATCCCGTAGGGAGTAATCCTCGAATTAGAATTAATCATCAAACGAATATACGTTTGTCTTTCTCTATCTTTATCTATATATCTATCTATCTATCTATCTTTATCTTTCATGTTTCACTATGCTTGCTCTCTATTTGCTATTCTCTTACACACGAGGAGGCGGTAGGAATTATCCCATCAATGCGTAATGCCCGTAGGCTAGGCTAATAACTACCAATTTACCTGTCTCTTCATCTCTCTCTCTCTCTCTCTATCGTTCGAGCAAAAACAGGTTCTGCATTAAATTCTCCTCCCGTTAGGTTGGTAACGTTATTATGACAACTAAGTCGGCACAAATCAATTACATCCGCGGAACTTTCCGTAAAGTTCTATGAGCTAATCAAGCTTCCATTCGATCAAATTAATCTTAACAACAACTTTCCAACTGCGTGATGGAAAAGTTGACCCCCGTAGACCACGGATAATTACGCGACTATCTGTAATAATATATTGTTGTTGTTGTTGTTGTTGTTTACGTAGATATCTGGTTGGAAATGTATATTTTTTTTTTATAAAGAATTATTATTCTATAGAATGTATTATTTTATAAAGATATCATGTTTTAAAAAGAAGGACAATACGTTTGCTTTCAGTAGCGGCTACGAGCTTAAGTGGCAGCGTACACGGTGCCAGTCTGATGTCGCTTCACGTCGAGGGTGGTACCCAGGTCCAGGTGCCACGTTCCCTGATGCAGGCGTTCCTACAACAAGATCCGAATCATCCGGGTTTGGAAACGGTACGTTTGCCAACGCCACCCTGCGATTCGAACGAGACTGGTCCAGGACAACATTGTCGTGAGGTAGAAACGGAATTATGTTTGGTGTGTCGAAGATGCGGCCGAGCATATCCCCAGGAGTCATCGCTTTTGGTTCATCAACGTTCATGTTATTTGGGTAATCAACAGCGTCGGGGTGCATTGCGTCTAGTACAGTCACGTTATTCTTGTACACTTTGCGATCCCGGTAGTAATACACCGCAGCGAACTTACACGACCGTGACCGAATGGCGTAGACATTCCGAAACTGCACAACATCGTGCTCGTTTAGAAATCGTTCAAGGACGGCAACAACAGCAACAGTCACAGTCACAACAACAGTCACAACAGCAACAATTTAATTATCCCGATCCAAATGGACAATCGGGAAACGAAGAGGCGAATCCTTTGACTGACGAGATGGAGGACGTCGTGAATCAAATCACCCTGTTGGCCGCACGTGCGGCAGCCGAGAGCACGACCGGTCAATCGCAGGGTAACAACAACGATAGGGCCAATCAGGACAACAACAACGGACCCGATGCCAAAAGACAGAAACTCGTACAGGAGGTCACCGCACTGGCTGGAGCCCGTTAAAAGAAATAAAACAATAGGAAAACTCGTCCTTCAATTTTTGGGGATAGAGAGAGAAAGAGAAAGAGGGTGAGGGTGAGGGTGAGCAGAAGATGAAAACAAAAAACAAGAAAGAATGAGAAAGAAAGAAAACTAGAGTCGTCCCTCCAGTTTCATCAGGAAAGGACATCGTCGGGCTCTTCATACGACTTCTCCAGTTTTGACAGATGTGATCAAAACTCTTGCCGGATAAAATTAAAAGCCTTTTTCGCACTACTCGGGTGCAGGTGAACATCGCGAGCACCTGTTTTTTTTTACAAAAAAAAGAAAAAAAAGGGGTCGCTCAATTTTTACCAACCCGAGAGGTACCAAAATGGCGACAGGGTTTTTAACCAATTATCGGTTAGAAAACGAAATGAAAAAAAAAAAGAAACCCTATCGTCCTTCCTTCGTTGCGCCCGTACGTTCTTCGCGTGGCTCAACTTGCCTATTATTTTTGTAAAATGACGTAAGCATTAAGCGCGCAAGCCAGTTAGCACGCGCGCTTCAACAAAGTTCCTCCGATAGATTGAAACGAAACGAAAACAAGTTAAACGGAATATTAGAAAAGAGTTTGAAGAAAGATAGAAAGAAAGTTGAGATGACTGAGAAGTGTTAGGGAAAAGTAGGAAAGAAAAAAAATGCAAAGAAGGATTTATTGTGTGTGTATATGTAGTAGCCGGGGATTGAATCATTTTTTTTCCTCTTTTATCACCGGCTACCAAATTAAGAAAAGGGGTGATTAAAGAATAATGGTACGAGACTCGAAAGAATAGCAAAAATAAATAGGCGCACGAGTGTCTGTTAGAAAGAAAAAAAAAAGTAAAGAGAGAAAGAAAGAAAGAGAGAGAGAGAGAGAGGGAGACCTAAAACAGGGGAGAGAATTGTCCGAGGTGGGCTCACTTAAACGTTCCTATGTAAAGTAATAATAAAGATTTAAAATGAAGACAAAAAGATGTTATAATAACTAAGATACTTAAAAAAAAAAGTAAATGAAATTTAAGAAAAAAAAATTAAATAAATAAATAAAAGAAAGAGAGAGAGAGAGAGAAATAAAGAGAAGGGAAAAACGGGGTGGTGGATTGTAGTTAAGATGGAAGTAAGAAGAATGAAAATATTAGAAAGAGAGGAGAAGAAGAAGAAGAAGAAGAAGAAGAAGAAGAAGAAAAAAAAAGAGAAAGCACGGGCAGCCAGTGAGAAGGGTGCGGCGCAATAGGGGTTGATCAACGCACGCACTTATTTGACATTGTCGTTTATAGGAAAAAAAAAAGACTCTGCAATCGTTTTAAGAACCCATACGTACGTACATTATAATGAAGATTAAAAAAAACACACAAAGAAGAAGGAAGAAAGAAATGATAAATAACGATAACACGTATACATGTATACATGCATATAGCAATTACGTATGTTATGTATCTCGCTCTCTTCTTTCCCATCCTTTCCAAAAAACACACATATTCGATCACATATTCGCATATACTACGCATTTACACCCCCACACAACAACCAACCAACCCCCTTACCCTCTCGTTCTCTCTTCTTTTTCTCTTTCTCTTTCTCTCTCTCTCTCTCTCTCTCTCTCTCTCTTTCTGTTTTTTCTCTTTCTCTCTTTCTCACTCTTTCTCTTTCACCCTCCCATTTTTAAACATAAACAAAATTCATAACCCTCTATCAATTTTCTCTTTCGAAAAATACAAAAATTCAAAATAAAATCGAAATTCTCGGACGGGGGAACGCCGTTATTTTCAAAACAACGATCGATCTCTGTCGTCATATAAAATATAATATTCGATTTTAAACGATGAACAATTAAATAAATAAATTAAATAAAAAGAGAGAGAGAGAGAAGAACAAAATATGAGCTTTTGCGAAAAACGCGTTTTCTATAATGCGCGTATATAGAAAAACAAATTAAAATTAAAAATAAAAATGATGGGAAGATATAATGGAAAAAAGAACACGTAAGATTCACACTTACTAACATACACAGCCACACTAATTAAAAGATAAATAGAGAAGAAAAACAAAAGGAAGAAGATGATGATGACGATGAAGATGAAGAAAAAGAAGAAGAAGAGGAAGGAGAAGACAACCAATAAAAAAAAACATAAGAGAGAGAGAAAAAAAAATGTAAAGCACCGGTACCCCGATCGCTGGGACGGGGTTGCCGATTCGAGCATTTCCTCGTACCGAGCGCGACGCGAAAAGGGGATGGAAAGGAAAGTTCATGGAATAATAAGGGTGTGTGTATGTGTGTGTACGATGTGTGTTCGAGGCCCAACGTGGACATTGCGAACTTCTCTTAATATCATCTCTCCTCCTCCACCATTAACCTCCTCCTTCTCCTCAACCTCTTCACTTTCTTAAATCCTAATTTTATTCTAATCATCGAGTATAAAACACTCACAGCTGCATTTTCCTATTAAACTCAAATGGCCTCCTTCTACCCCCAAAAAACCATCCTCAACACTTATTATGGTGCCCCTTGGCGTCGTCGACACGGTTCGCGTTCACGAACAAGACCCAGCAACATAGTTCCTATATTTAATAAAATTATATTTAATAGAACTATAAAGAAATGATTAATAATAATTAACGATTAATATAATATTATTAGCGATTAACTAACTAATAATAAAGTAATATTAATATTAATAATATAATAATAATAATATAATAATAATAATAATAATAATAATAATAATAATAATAATAATAATAATAATAATAATACAAATAATAATGATAATAGTAATAATAAAGATAAGGTAATAACTTTAGGTGATAGATTTTATCGATAGTCGTTTTAAAAAAAAACCATGACAATTTTTGCTATCAACGATCGATCATCGATGATAAAATTGATTGCTAATTAGTCGACGGAGCTCGGCTTTAGAAGACACGAAATAAAAAATAAAAAAGAAAGAAAAGAAAAAAACAAGAGAAACAATAAAAAAAAGTAAATTTTCAACTTCTCCCTGTTTTTCTCTCTATTCTTTTGCACGAGTATTAGAGAATGTGAAGAATATTAAAAAAAAAAAAAATAATAAAACGAAGAAGATAATGATAATGATAATGATAATGATGAGAAGGTAATAAGACGAGAAAAGAGGAGGGAACGAGCAGGGTCACGAAATTTACATTTTGATGATTACGATTACGATTGTGAGAAGAGAATGTGTGCAATGATTAAACAAAGATAAAAAAAGTAAAAAAATATTATAAAAATGCACCGAATTTTTAATCGCGCCGATAATAATAATGATTATCGGATAACTATTACTATTACTATTAAATGCTACTACACACTATTACTATTACTATTACTATGACAACTATTACTATTACTACTACTACTACTATTACTACTACTACTACTACTACTACTACTACTACTACTACTACTATTACTACTACTACTATTACTACTACTACTATTACTACTACTACAACTATTAATACTGCTAATACTACTACCAATACTATTACTATTACTATAAACTTACTATACTTATCACTTACATCTGTAAAGATCTTTTTAAAAACGATAAAATGATTCACTATTAGAGTGTAAGTTACGATTAATGGAAGATAACTGATCCAATCGCTAACACATACATATTTACATACACTGAAACATAAGAGTACGTACATATATACACACGTACACGTACAGAGAGACAGAGAGACATAAGATAATTACGACTAAAATCGTAGAATTAAGTACGTAACATCCTTTATAGGGTTGGGTGGGAGATAAAAAGAGAGAGAAAGAAAATCGAGAATGATGAAGTTGAAAAAAAGATAAGTATGTACATGCATATATATATGTATATATTTATATATGTATATATATTTATATATATATATATATATATATATTTAAGTAGATAACATTTATATATATACATATATATATATATATATATAATATATAAATATAAATATAAATATATGATGTAAAACATACTAGAATCCTCGCGTGTATTATTCGGAACAGTGGACGCGTGTATTCGCGTACGTACGTAAACAAACAAAAATTTAAATTAAAGAAAGAAGAGTAAAAACAAAAGGAGAAAGAGAGATAAATAAGAAAATGAAGAACAATGCAAGTGACAAGAAAGAAAGAGTAAATAATATCAGAAACGAACATTTAAAAAAATCATGAGGTATTTAAACAATCGTGATTTTCTGCTTGAAAATAATTTGTTCGCTAGAATAAATGTGTTAAAAAACATTGTTTCTATGTGGAAGTGTGGAAGAAGTTTAAGAAGAAAGAAAATAAATTAATAAGAAACAAGGAAGAGATTTTGAACGAGATATGATTATAGTAATAACTATTTATAATAATTGTAAGATACTAAGATGAAACTTGAGGTTCCTGTCTGTAAAAGATGCTTTTTTCTAACGTAACGTTGGTAACTCGGCGATTATTATTAAACGAAATAATATTAATATTAAATAAAAAAAAATAAAATATTGATATATATAAATATATATCTATATACATAATATTTCGATTATTATCATCATCATTATTATTATTATTTGTATTATTATTATTATTACTATTATTATCATTATTATTATTATCATTATTATTATTATTATTATTATTAGATTATAGATTTATGATATTACATTTACATGTATGTGCTCGTGTATTTATTATCATGATTATTATCATTATCATTATCATTATTATTATTAATATCATTATCATTATTATTATTATTATTATTATTATTATTATTATTAATATTATTATAATTATTATTGCTATTATATATTGTAAGACGTTATAGCGTTGAGGACTAACGTACATATTTAATAATTAATTAAAAGTGGTAAACAAAAAAAAGTAAGTAAGAACGAAAGGAAAGAATATAATAATGGTGAGAAACATATACACGCACGTACGTGAGGCCGACGCACGTCATCGTAGGGGCTGTGGGGTTGGGTTCGGGGGGGAGTTAAGTTTTCTTCGATATCATTTAAATGATATTGAAAAAAAATCGTAACGAAATAAATAATAAAAAAAAATAAGTTAATGTGACACACATACCTACGTTTTTACACTTGTATACACGCACGGGAATTACTTTACACGTACACACACTGAAACGAAGTATGAATATGATTGCGCGACACATATACACACACACATACACAAGTAACTATCGTTTAGAACGATTTTTAATTAATCGACTCCTTCTTTTTCTCTCTTTCTCCCTCTCTTTCTCTCTCTTCTTCTCTTCGGTACCTGGTAACCGAAAAACAATTCTCTTATGTAAACGATACCTCGCAAAATATGGCAATTAAAATGAACGAGTGAAATTTATTATTTAAAAAAAGAAAAAAAATAAGAAAAAAAAAATGTAGAACGAAGGAGAAAATATTATGACGAAAGATGAAAAAAAATGAAATATAATTAATGGTCAAAAAGTATTAAATAAATAAATATAAAAAAAGTAACCAAAAAAAAGCATAAATGATGAACATATACATACCGCACACACACACACACACACAGAGTTACACAAAAGAAATATTACGACGAATCGTGTTTAAACAATGAAAAGATGATATAAATAAATGATAAAAAGATAAAAGATAAATTTATTTCTCTAGAAATAAATGTTGCGCTAAAATAATAAATTAATTCATCATTCGCGATAACAATTTTACATTGATAAGATCATAGAAATCATTGTCGTTGTAAGCGTGTGTCATTATTGTCATCGAATCGTCATTGTTATTATTATTATTATTATTACTATTATTATTATCTGTCATTATTATTATTATTATTATTATTATTATCTGTCATTACTTATATTGTCATTTTTATTATTATTATTAAATTATAATTATTATTATTAAAATAATTATTAAATTATTGTCATTATATTATTATTATTATTATTATTATTAATATTATTATTATTATTATTATTATTATTATTAGCACGAGGCACGAAGTTCCAAAAAAAAAAAATAAAAATAAAACTAAAAAATGTAAGAGTAATATTTAAAAAGAAGATTAAAAAAAAGAAGAAATTAAAAAAAATTAAATTAAAATAAAAGTGTAAAAGTGTAATAAGAGATAAAAATAAAATAAAATAAAATAAAAAAAGATGAGAATCCACGATTTT